TTTTACCTTCAAAAATCGGTGCTCATTCTGGACATTATCAGAGACCCATCTGAGCCTCTGATTCTACCCAAAAAATGATCTTCCAAATTTTGCTAGTTCGTTTACATTAAGCTGTACAATATGCACATTTACTAAAATTTAATTGCTTAAATTGTTTCAGTCTGTTTGAATATTGTCTTTGTATGTCGGAAAAAAATGCTTTCTTTCTTTCTTTCTTTCTTTCTTTCTTTTCTTTCTTTCTTTCAAAATAATATGAAACAATTTCTAAAAACGATATTATGTCGCTCGGTAATTGTCTTAAATTGACCAAATTGGCGTTCTTTACCCCCCCCCCCCCCCCCAGAACTTTACAAACAATAATCACAGGTGAATTTTTTTTTTAATTCGAGCTCAGAATAATAATACCTCTGAAAAGATACAAAAATTGTTATTTAAAAAGTTGAAATTTGTCTGCAGGAAAAAAACCACCAGAGCACAAATATTTCGTCGTTTTCTTCGAAAGTTCTAACAATAACTTTTTTAGCGCAACTTTTAGTGCTCTAGAATACGAATTCTAAATAAGAGTTCGCCAAAAGCCAGCAAATCCCGTGAATGCAGGGGTAGATCTAGGATTTCTCGAGGTGAGTGGGCGTTTTTTCAAAAAAAATTAGGTCAACCAAAATAATTTTCCGAGCTCGCTCAAAGCGCTGAAAAAACCTTGCTGCAGGCAATATTTCAAACAAAAAACAGAATAAAAAGGGCGTTTTCAGGCACTTTTTGGACAATATTTTCCAAGAAAAAGTGCGCTTTTTTGGCGCGCTTCCCCTCAAAATTAGTATAAATTGGCGCGGCAGGCGCCTTTAGAAAAATTTTAGGCTCCGCCAGCCGAACACGGAGGTTTTAAAATTTTACTAAAGGCGATCAATTTTTGTACCAGTTTTTGGAGATAATCTGCTGCACCTTTGTTTTGAGTTCGAGAACAACTTATGTGAAACTGGCTGACATAAAACTCCACATAACCTCAAATTATATTCATGTATCGCTGAATTCGCTTGTAATGGCGTTATTAACCAAGACGCTTGAATTTGTTTTGATGCTCAAACTGTAGCTGGTGCACGTCTAGCAGTAGATATCTAAAAAAATTCCCCGGTTGCACAAATCTGCAAAACACTGCGCCATCCACATAGAAGAGCTATCCACTTTGAAAGAGTTCTCGCAATGGTCACGAGCTCTTGTATCATAGGAGTAAAGCAATTGATCGTCGGCCGCGAAATCTCATCACTAATTGTTCAGAAAAATGACCAGATTTCTTAGAAGCAGAACAAGAGCTTGCTATTTGTGCATTAAATTGAAGAAAAAACACGACTCGGTATTTTAAAATTCATAAAGTTGTTAACTGGACTTTCATTCAATTAGCGATACCCCATTAGCCCTTTATGAATGGTTCATGGAAGATTTTGGGAACGAGAGACGGGGCGACAGGAACATCGCGACCCATATTTGTTATGTTCAGACTTTCGAGACAAAGATTTCTCAATTCCAGACTTTCGCGATCAAGATGGACACGGCGCGACCATTGCGACCAAAATCAGCCGTTTCGAGACTCTTGCGACCGGGATAGAGAGTTTTGGGCGGAGACGGCGCGGCCAAGAACAAATTACTCGCGGTTTTTGCGACCGAGCTAAAGAGAGGGCAACTTTTGCGTCCAAATTGTAGACGGCGCGACTCAAAATGTAACGGTTCGATTAGCCTGACCGACGCGACCAAAAATTGCCGGTCAACGATTAACAGCCAGCGAGATTATTTCTTCTCTGCAGGTTTAATTTCGGAGCGAATGATACCGTCCTTGCGGTAATTTAACGATTTTGTACGGTCGAAAAGATAATAAAATCTAGAGTTTGACTAGTCGGAAACGGGTATCCAGCAACGTCTCCGAATTAGCAGAGTGAGTCAAAGAGCTGCTTTTCACCAAAGTTGGCACATCTTCTTCTAGCTACGGGTTGAAAAACACTGGCGTAATTTTTGCTCGTGCGGATCTTTCTAGATTTTTAGATTTTAAAAAAACAAAGGAAAGATCTTTCTAGATTTTAAAAAAACAAAGGAAAGCCCAAACGAGTCGAGACCTGCGGAAACTGGATAGAAGTAATCAAATAAAACTTGTATTGGCTAGCGCTGGCTGGAATTGACGTGCACATATTTAAATTTTTCTCGATGATACTGAAAATGGTATTTTTTAAAAAGGCAAAATATTTTTTAAAAAGGTAACTTTTTTTCTTTTAACAGCAAATTCCAGTGCCTCGTTATCTGATGCAGATGACATAGTTCATTACATACTTATCCATCAATCAAACTGTCTATATCAAAAAGAATAACTCGATTTTTGTCCATATATTATCGCTCTCTTGTACTCGAGCTGGAAAAATTGGATTTCAAGAACCCCGGTGACTCGAAAGAGTCGTTCGAAGTGTTCTCTCCTTGTGAATTCTGGTCCAACAACCCGAATGGACTCCAATTTAAACAACAGACAGTTAATGCATACATAAAGTTGCACTGCATTGCTATGAAGATAATAAGAGCAAAAGCCGCAGGTTTCTTAAAATTCATGTATTTCTACCCGAGTCGAAGTTTCAACTTTATGTTTTCAAACTAGATGTCATTGCGCGACAAAAATCCATAGTCGCGCAGTGCTTATGGTTGAACTGAGTCAAACATAAAATCGAACTGGGTCGAGACATAAAGTCAAACCGAGTCCAAAGTCTCGAGTTAGAGGTTCTTGGCCGCGAACCTCTTGACATAGCAAATATCGTGAAATCAAGTTATTAATTGGAATTTCAATCAACTAGCGATACCCCAGTAGTTATGGTTCATGAGAAAACTTTGGGAAAAAGTTGTCACATGAAGTTCTACTGACAGCGTTCTGTATCGTGAAGCAAACTCTTAACATCCGCCCTGAATTCCAGTCAGCACTAACACAATCATGTTTGATGTGATAACTCCTCTCCGCTTACAGCTTGCCCAAATTTGTCCAAACTTTTTTCGTTTTTTAAAGCAGTTTGCTCGCTGACCAGGATACGCACGAGTGAAGAAGTCCGTCAGCACTTTTTGAACCCAAGAGATAGAAGAAAAATTACCAGCCTTGAAAAAAAAAGCTAAATAGAACTCCGATTCCGATTTTGCTCTCTAATTTTGAAACTTTGCCTGGATAGCCCACTAGTCAAACTCTAGGGGTTAAATTAGTGCAACCGCAACTAAGAAAAATGAAAAAATTGATTATAATGGATTTTTGCGATCTAAAACAATGTCAATATAATTTATTCCCATTCCAGGCTTAGACAAAAAAATTAGACAAAAAAATGGATTCAAATCTATTTTTTCAGGCAAATAACATAATGCATTATATTTGAATTGAAATCAATCATAATGGATTATAAAAACAAGTACAAAATCATATTAAAATTGATTTTTTTTCATTTATTTTCGTTTTGCGTCGTGCTAAATTTTGCAAGAATTAATGCTTTTAACAGATGAAAATGCAAATTTTTCGCAAAGTGAGTGTACGTCCTACTCCTTTTCTAAACCTAAACTCAAATTGTAAAAATATTTTGTTGACATCTTCCCCCTAACATTTGGCCCTTTGCTCCCTTACAACCCCCATTCCAATGTGTGCCTCTTTGCCCCTCCCACACTTGAACAACCCCCCACACACACACACACACACACACACACACACACACACACACACACACCTGGTTTCTGCCCCCCCCCCCCCCTACGCTGAACCATCCCGCCCTACCTGAATCACCCGAACCCGCACCTGAATCAGCAAACCCCCCCATCCAGTTGAACCCCCCCTTCCCCCCACTGATCCGGTTTAGGCAGGTGATTGTATGTGTGTGAGGGGGGTTGTTTTAGTTGGGTTTCAATTGGTGGAGGGGGTTGGTTCAGGTGGGGGCAGGGTTGGGATTGGTTCAAGTGGTGGAATGGCGGGTGTTAGGGTACAAAGGGGTCAAACATTGGAGAGAATAGGAGAGGCAATTGTTGAAAGGAACAAAATTCAGCTATTGAGTAACATAAAAAAGAAACAAAATTATCAAATCTTGTAAATAATCAAAAACAACTAATTTTAGTTTTAAAAATAAAAAAGACTTTATGTGTGTTGGAATTCGCATCTGAACACAGTGAGAAAAATCGATTTTAATTGAGTTTTATTGTCAGTGGCCACAAAAGTGAAAAAAAAACATATTATAATGGATTAAGAATGGATTTTGTTTCCTCGAAAAACAGTAATATTATAATCCAATTTTAATTAATTTTAATTGATTTTTTTTTCACTTTTGTGGGTACTGACAGAAAAACTCAATTAGACTCGATTTTTTTTCATTGAAATCCAACGCGGGCAAGGACGGCATTGGTGCAATGTTATTAACGTTGCTAATTGTTGTTGTACAGAAATTACCGATGTCAGCTATGATTATAATTTAAGCTACCATTATAATTTTGTTAGACCCTTTAGTCTTAAGCCGGACTAAATGACCCACACGGCCTGAGTTTAAAATCATATTGTCCATGAGGGCTAAACTGAACTTTTCCGGTCGAAGTTGCCTGAATTTGTGTTCAGACGGTCCAAACGGTCTGAATCCGGATTCCTTCAGTCCACACGGCTTGAACCCGGAGTCTTTCGATTCACATGGTCTGAATCCGGATTCTTCTGGTCCGCGCCGTCTAAACCCGAGTTTTTCTGGTCCGCACGTTCTGAAGCCGGGTTCCTTTAACCCACGCGGTCTGAATCCGGATTCTTTCTTTGCACATGGTCTAAATCCGGATTCCTCCGGCCTACAATGTCTGAAAACGGACTTTTTAGTCCACACGGTCTAAAACCGAATATCCTCAGTCCACACGGTCTGACCTTAAAACCGAAACGTCGATCCGGGTAATGATAAAACAAATTTGAAATTGATATGGATTTGATTTTAATCACCAGTTTGATTCGCTCAGAACTTGATTCATTCTTTGATCACCGCTTGATTTTGTTTTCTTATCACCGACTCTCATCATTTTATGACAAAGCTCAGTTTGTTATCATATGAAACTATACACATTTTAAATCAGGCGTTTTAATACATCATGAGATCTGAGTTTACTATACCACCTGTGGTAGATTTTTGTTCTTTGTCGGGTAAAAACGAAGACTCTTGCGATGTTTTGCATCTCAAGTCAGTCGGAACTGAATTGGTATCTGCTTTGAAGTCTACCGGATTCCTGTACTTGAAGAACACTGAAGTCAGTCGAGATGAAGTGGTCGCGCTGAACAGAGTGGCAGGTGACTTTTTTGATGAGCCGACTGAGTTTAAGAATCAGTTCGCAATAGACAGGTTTGCAGTCTAGTCCTTCAAACTTACTTTGCAAAATGAAAAAATATATCAATAAGCTCTAAACTTAGTAACGATCAGTTCTTTCACTCGAGCAAAAGCAGAAAATACAAAAAGATCACTTCACATGTGCTGAGTTGAATAGCATCTAAACTTTTTCCTGTAAATCGCATAAATTTTTGCATAAATTACTGCTTTGAACAAACAAAATTATACAAAATACGTTTGATTGCTTTCCTTTACATTGAAGGGCGAATGGAGTTTTCCATGGCTACATGGGACACAAGGTAAGTTAATTACAGCTACACTCAAAGATGACAATAAATGGTCATGGAACAAACTTTCTCCAGGAGAAAAACGTGCTTCCAGTTTGTTTATAACATATTGCGCTTCTTTAGTCTTAATTGGTTCTGAAATAACTCTTAAAGAATGAAAACCAAAAAACCAATGTTTTCACACATATGTTTTTTTCTGGTAATGCCTCGCTATCTCATGCAAATCACACTGATCATGAAATGATTATCAATCCTGCTTACCAAACTGTTATTTCCTAGAGGAATGACTCAGAAATTATTTACTATCGTTTTTTGTCCACTTGTAATCGCTTTCTTGAATTTCAGCTGGAAAACTTGGACCCTACGAACCCCAGTGACCTGAAGGAGGCGTTCAAAATGTTGCCCCCTTGTGACCTCTGGCCCAACAACCCGAATGGACTCCAGTTTAAACAACGGACAATGAACGCATACAACAAGTTGCACTGCATCGCTACGAAGATAATGAGAGCATTGGCTGCAGGTTTCCGAAAGTTTATGCAACTTGTATCTTAAAAATTAAATTCAGTTAGTTTGAATCAAATTAGATACGAGGTATAAGTTAAGCACAGATAGGGGTTTTTAAAATTCTGAATAAATAGCATTGACAGAAAACACAATCTTATCTTTTATCTTTTATCTTCACTCCGAGCATAAAAATCATTTTGGCACTTGCGGAATTCAACATTGCAAAATTATAAAAAACTGCTATGCTGAATGACCCTCAGAAAAATCTCAAAAACATTTAGTGAAAATGCAGTTCAATAAATGTTAATTTCAGATAAGTGTAATGTCAAATTTATGTGAACTGAAATAGCATTCCTTGTCACTTTTTTGTTCACAATATACTGAGATTAAAAACATAAATCCTTCAGCGGACTATACTTACCAAAAAAATATACACAATTTATTTAACCAGAAATCTATTTATCTTAAGAAAAACAAAAAACAAACATTTGCTGAACTATTGTGCCAGAAAGTGTTAAGAAAAGCGAAAACGATGTGTATTATAACTCAATTTCTTTTATAATTGGTCAGAGCGTTCAAAAATTGCGTTCATAGATTTCATCTCAAGTTCAAAAAACTTTCGTATTATTGCTTAGCAAAACATGGAATAAAATGGGTATAACGTAAAATGAGCCATAAACTTTTGAAAGTGGATAAGGATTCAAAAAAATCCGACAAAACTTTTGTAATATGGACGTCTCAGATACAAAATTTAGGAAATTTTGCTGTTTCGTTATTGTTAAAAAATTTCCTCGAACAATGCTGGCCCTTCTTCTTCCATATCATCTGATGATTCAATGAGTGTAAATTTCAGATAGAGAATGTAACAATCTAATCTTGCTAAGTATAGCATTAGAGTGAAAATTAGAGGTCACACCAAGGATGACAGACAGCGCCCTTGGCCGGTACCTGTCGGTATCTAATTAGCACCTTTGGATTGGCAGATGATTGACAGAAACGATTGAACAAACTTATGTTAACTGGAAAAGCACTCATTTTCATTTCTTCCCTTCTTCGATACAAGTTCAATCAATACCCTGCCCATCTTTGAGACAGCGGTTGGCTTCCGCCCGTTTTTTTTTGTGACGATGTTTTGTCTCGGCTGATGTTCGAGTGTTGACTGCTATAAGCGACTAGTCGTTGTTTTCGTCCACTTTTCATCGTCTCCGCCCGTGGAGCTGCTAAGTCCATTTATATAGTCGCTGCGTCGGAACTCGCCGTGTTCGAAACTTCGTTTCTGCGCTTCAATCCGTTTGATCGTTTCGTGTTGTCCGCCTCCTCTGTTCATTTTGTACTCCTCGCTCCATCGGTTTATTTTGCCCTTCTCGCTCGGTGGTCGGTTTTGCTGTAGGGTTTCTGCTGGATCCTGCGCCTGCGGCAACGATCCTTTGTTGCCAGAGGAGTATTCTCGCTATTGCCTTGCTATTTGCTGTTCACCTCAATTTTTCGACCGGTTTGTTTTCGTGTTTTTTACGGTTCCTAATTTTCTGGCTGCGTGAGTTTCTTCCTTGTGAGATCCTGTGGAATAGGTGGTTGTGGTAGCCCGGCTGGTGTATTTTTTTTATCAGCGTTTCTCGCCAATGCGACACCCAACTTTCTAAGGACAACACCGCTTTTTGGAGTTAGTGTGAGTGCACCTACAAATTTTACTTTAACACATAAATTTCTTAAACCTGTTCAGATTTTGGAATCTGATACATTGATAAAATTGGCTTGAGTGTCCCGGTAGCGACTCCGCGCTCGATCCTTGCTTCCAAATGCAGGTTCGTCATCTGGTTCAGTTGCTGCTACTCAGTTGGCTTGCGTGGATGGCTTTGATTCTAAGTGTCGTACACATGATTCGATCGAACCCCACAACTGGTTTCCGCGATGTCTAGCAAGTCTTGTACTGCATGGTCCGTATAATCTTAAAAAGCGTTCTTTCTTTTAGTACTCGTGATCATTTGAGATTTTGCAATGACGGTTTTTTGTAAGGTTCCGTTTAACCGGATTTGCCTGGCGCCCGTTGGGGAGTTTATGCGAAGCTTGTGGGGTGTTGGTTTGAGCGCTTTGATTGGGGAGACTTTTAGAATTGAATAAGTTGAAAACCGTAATGCGCCTATGGCATTTTCAACCATTTTTTCTAGGGTTCAGTTTTCTTTTTTTTTCGCGAATGTTAACATCGAGGTTTTCAGACTACCTGAAATCTGCTCGACGCAAGTTGTTGCACGGTGATCTTTGGCCGGCAATTTTACACATTCTCTTCCTTCGCCAATGCAAAACGTTTTTTCTTCGTTTGACAAGAATGTTTTTGTCACGCGGTCAATATGAATCCTCCGGGGTACCCCGTGGGTGATATGTACGTTTTTAGGAACCTTCTAATTTGTCTGATTTGTTGTTTTCTCACGCCATAGCCGACAACCAACGCGACGTGAACAAGTGTTTTAGATTGATTCAGCTAATTAATCGTCCCCAAAAATTGAGTTGATCAGACTCGTTTGGTTCTCATGGCTCGGTTAGTTTCCTAATAATAATAATCTAAATTAATAACTTGAGGTTCCTAACGGAGGCGCATATCTTTGCGATTGACGCAGTTGAAGGGTAACTAAAAAAGTACCAGACGTTTTTGGCGGCTTGAACATATTTGTTTTCCAGTGATGGTAAAATGAATGCGGTTGGTTTTTGTTGTTATTAAACTTTTAAAATTAACCAAACTGTCGTCCATTCAAAGCAATTCTCCTTCTCATAGACAATGTTAACAATTTGAGCATATTAGCGATTGATCCGGTAAATTTTTTCATGCAACTTCGGTTTTTCTCTTTTATCACATCTCTGATCGCATTAAATTGGGGGTTGGATTTATACTGGATTTAATTCAACAAACTATAAAATGAATAAATTGACAATGAAAATAAATTACTGAAAATTTCATAACCCCTGGGGCAATAGGGATAGTAAATTTTTTATGTAAACCGTAGGAATTGTTTCCTTGCGAACGAATAGGGTAACGAAAGTACGGCAATGGTTTGATATTCGTGATCATTTGAGATTTTGCAATGACGTTTTTTTGTAAGGTTCCGCTTAACCGGATTTGCCTGGCGCCCGTTGGGTAGTTTATGCGAAGTTTATGGGGTGTTGGTTTGAGCGCTTTGATTGGGAAGACTTTTAGAATTGAATAAGTTTAAAACCGTAATGCGCCTAGGGCATTTTCATCCATTTTTTCTAGGAATCAGTTTTCTTTTTTTTTTCGCGAATGTTAGTATCGAGGTTTTCAGACTACCTGTAGTCTGCTCGACGCAACTTGTTGCACGGTGATCTTTGGCCGGCAATTTTACACATTCTCTTCCTTCCTCAATGCAAAACGTTTTTTCTTCGTTTGACAAGAATGTTTTTGTCACGCGGTCAATATGAATCCTCCGGGGTACCCCGTGGGTGATTTGTACGTTTTTAGGAACCTTCGAATTTGTCAGATTTGTTGTTTTCTCACGCCATAGCCGACAACCAACGTGACGAGAACAAGTGTTTTAGATTCATTCAGCTAATTAATCGTCCCCAAAAATTGAGTTGATCAGACTCGTTTGGTTCTCATGGCTCGGTTAGTTTACTAATCACAATAATCTAAATTATTAACTTGAGGTTCCTAACGGAGGCGCAGTTCTTTGCGATTGACGCAGTTGAACGGTAACTAAAAAGTACCAGACGTTTTTGGCGGCTTGAACATATTTGTTTTCCCGTGATGGTAAAGTGAATGCGGTTGGTTTTTGTTGTTATTAAACTTTTAAAATTAACCAAACTGTCGTCCATTCAAAGCAATTCTCCTTCTCATAGACAATGTTAACAATTTGAGCATATTAGCGATTGATCCGGTAAACTTTTTCATGCAACTTCGGTTTTTCTCCTTTATCACATCTCTGATCGCATTAAGTTGGGGGTTGGATTTATACTGGATTTAATTCAACAAGCTATAAAATGAATAAAACTGACAATGAAAATAAATTACTGAAAATTTCATAACCCCTGGGCAATAGGGATAGTAAATTTTTTATGTCAACCGTAGGAATTGTTTCCTTGCGAACGAATAGGGTAACGAAAGTACGGCAATGGTTTGATATTCGTGATCATTTGAGATTTTGCAATGACGGTTTTTTGTAAGGTTCCGCTTAACCGGTTTTGCTTGGCGCCCGTTGGGGAGTTTATGCAAAGTTTATGGGGTGTTGATTTGAGAGCTTTGATTGGGGAGACTTTTAGAATTGAATAAGTTGAAAACCGTAATGCTCCTAGGGCATTTTCAACCGTTTTTCCTAGGGTTCAGTTTTCTTTTTTTTCGCGAATGTTAGTATCGAGGTTTTGAGACTACCTGTAGTCTGCTCGACGCAAGTTGTTGCACGGTGATCTTTGGCCAGCAATTTTACACATTCTCTTCCTTCGCCAATGCAAAACGTTTTTTCTTCGTTTGACAAGAATGTTTTTGCCCCGCGGTCAATATGAATCCTCCGGGGTACCCCGTGGGTGATATGTACGTTTTTAGGAACCTTCTAATTTGTCTGATTCGTTGTTTTCTCACGCCATAGCCGACAACCAACGCGACGAGAACAAGTGTTTTAGATTCATTCAGCTAATTAATCGTCCCCATAAATTGAGTTGATCAGACTCGTTTGGTTCTCATGGCTCGGTTAGCTTACTATTAATAATAATCTAAGTGAATAACATGAGATTCCTAACGGAGGCGCAGTTCTTTGCGATTGACGCAGTTGAACGGTAATTTAAAAAGTACCAGACGTTTTTGGCGGCTTGAACAAATTTGTTTTCCCGTGATGGTAAAGTGAGTGCGGTTGGTTTTTGTTGTTATTAAACTTTTAAAATTAACCAAACTGTCGTCCATTCAAAGCAATTCTCCTTCTCATAGACAATGTTAACAATTTGAGCAAATTAGCGATTGATCCGGTAAACTTTTTCATGCAACTTGGGTTTTTCTCCTTTATCACATCTCTGATCGCATTAAGTTGGGGGTTGGCTTTATACTGGATTTAATTCAACAAACTATAATATGAATAAAACTGACAATGAAGTTAATTTACTGAAAATTTCATAACCACTGGGGCAATAGGGACAGTAAATTTTTTTGTCAACCGTAGGAATTGTTTCCTTGCGAACGACTAGGGTAACGAAAGTACGGCAATGGTTTGATATTCGGACTTTTTTTAGTAACCGCTTCTAATATTGATTTTATACATGTTCCTTGCCCTGCATCATCACTGCTATTTAGACAATGAAGACAATGATGATTTCTTCAGTTTCTTGAAGTTTTTTTCCTTTTTGTTAGTTTATTTTGCATCGTGATTTGATTTTGAATCAACAACTGCCCCAACTAAATTAGTTTGCGTTTCGCATGACGCTCAGTTTATGCAAACTGTATGCTTGTCATTGTTTGGTTCGCAACCGCATCAAACGACGGACTCTACGGGCGAGTTATGTACTAAACATTTGCAAAAAGTTTTCTGATTACTCCCTATTTTATTAATTGGTTTAACTATCCATCAATCGTATTCGAATGCGCGACGTATTTTTTTGTGGTGAAAATTTTTTTCACCAAAATGAGCATGCTGTTATCATTGCTCATAGGTACCGCTTTGCTGATCGGACTCCGAGATAAGTAATCCGCCTACCCAGTTTTGGTCCAGGGTTTAAGCTCGACTTGAAAGTCAAATAAAAACAAACAATCTAACCATCTAGTGAGCCTGCTGCATATGGTTATATTTTTTTTGGTGTTTTTTCCGTTTAATAAGGAAAACAACGCTTTAAGATCTGTATTTACGAGAACGTTCGGCCTAAAACATTTTTTCTGCAAGCATTTCGAGTTCATTTTTGAAATACATTTTTCCATTTAACTCAGGAGTTTTGATGAGATGGGTTTTCAGCCCTCGGGGTCTAGCTGCTCTAACACCACCCCAGGCCATTGTGGCTCGCGTCACATACTATCCTGATGTCTCTATGAACATCAAAGTATGGGAGCTCCACTATAATTGCTAATTGCCTTTTTAAATTGTTGAACGCGGTTGAAAGGTAATAGTTTTTTTCTGCTTAACAACGGTCGCAGCGGAGCCGACGTCCCGAGTCCCATGAGTGTGATGGCGTATCTGCTGTACTTACCAATCCAACCGAGTTCCCATACTTGAATCTGTAATCCTCCGATGCCTCCGGATCATCGATTTCTCCTTCCTCGTATTCCTGGATCAACTTGACTGCTCCTCACACCCTTGACTTGCTTGCTTACCTCTGTACGTTGTGCATTCTTTATGTCCGGTTTTTCGACAGAAATTGCATGTGACTTTTTTTGCTGGACATCTAACTATGTGAACCGGTAAGATTCAAGGTTAATCACAGTTATAATATCGTTTGCTTTCAAAATTAATTTCCCTTTGGTTAAATCCGCGCCCGTGGTGCGGTCCACTGTCGCGTGATTGGTTTTTTGGTTACCCTCGGATGACGGGTTCAGTTTTGATCTGAAGGCCATCACCCGATGGTGCCAATAAACTTCCTCTGCTGGCGGCTGATGAAACATACGAGTTCCCATATTTGTCCCTCGCTCGTACGATAGGGCGATTCTATACAGGTCTTCTTTCCTTTTTCTTGACTGGCACAGCTCATTCTGAGCTTCACAGTGGTTTATGTTTGCAATGAAGACATCCCTAGTACGCGTCGCTCTAGTATAAAAAAGACACATCTTGCGGTCACCCTGCTAAATACTGAGTGGAATTGCTCGAGTGAGTCGCTGATGTGCAGCTTCCTTGACAGTAGTTGGAAACTTTTATAGGTTTTATTTCTTTCCTGCTTAAATTCCGCCTCTATAGTGTCTAGGACTCGTGGATATCTCTCCGCCCCCAGATCTAGATGCGGCTGCATTTTGTGTAACTTGTCTTGACCCTCCTCCCCCAGGCACAGGTGATGATTCTATCTTCATGTTTGTTCGCCTTCGAGTCGGTTCTTTCCGTCCACCTCTGCTGCCAGTGTCCCAATATGCGTGGCTGTAAGCGTTCCGTCGATTTAATAGTTTTTGGGGTTTATTCCGTGTTTGGCGCCCATACCCCATTGAAATCGAATGAAACAAAATTCTCAAAGCGTGGGTCGTTCGTTGAGCTTTGGATGCCAGCACCCGGTTATTCCAAGTGGGCTCCCCACAATTGGACCTGCTGACTGCACCATGTGGAATGTCCATGCCAATAAGTGTAAATTCCAGCGACAGAATGTAAATAGGGATCAGGCCAAGGGTAACAGATAGCGCCATTGGCCAGTACCTGCAGGTTTACTTAGCACCGATGGGATGGATTGACAGATGATTGACAGTACCGATTGAATAAACTTATGTGAACTGAAATAGCACTCCTTAGAGAAAAATGAATCTTTAGCGGACTATGTTTACCAAAAAAAGTACGACTTATTTAATCAGAAATCTCTTTATTTTATGAAACAAAAACAAAACTTTGCATAATTTTTGTGCCAGAAAGTATTAAAAGAACATAAATCAAAAACCAAGTGTATTATAACTCAGCTTCCGTTAATAAATTGTCAAAGCGTTGAAAAAAATCATACAGAGTTCATAGGTTTCATTTAAAGTACAGAAAATCTAGCGAAATATATCTGAAGGCTCATCGAAACATCTCTGAAGGATTTAAGTATTAGTGCCTAGCGAAACATCTATGCAGGATAAAATTGCCAAAATTTCTCTTGTGTAGTCATATATATTTTTTTTAAAAACGGTTTAAACATTTTCATTTTTTGTCTTGCACCAATTAAACATGAACGTCTCAGATACAAACTTAGATATAATTTTGCTGCTTTGCTACTGTTAGACAATTTCATTGAAAATGCTGGCTCTTCATTTTCCATGTGAATTGATCACTTTTTTTGTTTAGAGACTTTTCACATTTAAATCTTACTAATATCTTATCATTTCCAGTTGGATAATCAACTCTGAATTAAGTTTACCTGGGCAAAAACTTGGCAACTTTTTCAATTGAGATGCTGTAATGAGTGAAACATGACTTTTTGTTAGTTAAAAATTAAAGTTTCTTGACCATCTCGAAAAAAATGTTATTTAAATTTGTTTGTAAGAAGGCAAGTTAGCTCGGATCTTTAGCAAAAAGCATTACGAGGCCAAACTGTGCTTTTGTGAATTGTAGGCCGATTCCGCAACAACCAGAAATCAGATTTGCCGCGGAGTCCGCAACATTGCAGTTTTTCTTTGATGTTCTCTGCTGTTTTGAATTCCACGGACAAATAGCTAAAACACTGTATTATTGCTCAAAATCGCTCCAAAAACAGGCAACTATGCGGAATCCGCAGCAAAATGTGTGGAATCCGGATTTAGTTTGTGGAATCCATGAACAAATAATAATATATGTGTTTAGTAAACTTAAGCTGTCGCGGAATCCGCAACTGTAAGTGGAATCCGCAAATTGTAAGCGGAATCCGCTAATTGTATGCGAAATCCGTATAAATGTGCGGAATCCACTTACATTTGCGGAATCCGCTTGCTTTTGCGGAATCCGGATTAACTACATATATTCGCTGGTTGCTGAATCCGCAACAGAATCAATGTGTCGACAAAATTTACGTTACAGTTATTTGTACGCAGAATCCACGGAAATTTTCTAAGTGGAATCCTTTTACTTTTTGAAACATATTTAAAGACTCATTCCTGGAATCCAGGAACATACAGACACAAAATTGTGCGCCAGTGCACAGTTTGGCCTCATACTGAATGAATTCCAAAGACTTTTAGTGGACATACTATTTTGAGTTAGGCTTTATATCACGAGCGTAGATCCACTTTGCGAGACCTACTTGCGGACTCAGCTGAGTCCCAAGCCATATCAATCTCCCGACTGAGAGGCATAGATGTTGGCTGCTTCATCGCCACTCGCTTCATGTCTAGAGTGTAATTTTATATCTCTCAACAGGTCTGGATCTTGAAACGGATTTCTTCACCAGGCACCATCAGCAGATTGCACAGGGCGACAACCTCTCCTCTCTAAAACTCCTCAACTATCCAGAGCTGAGAGAAATACACATGACAGGACTGAAAGAGGGACAACTTAGGGCTGGGGAACACACCGACTTCGGGTTAGTCACTTCAATATGCCATCTTCATAAAAATTTTATTTTTCGTTAAAACCGGGATCATCACATTATGGAAAATTGGGAATGTACTTTGGCTCAGAGAGGTTTTATCTCTTGACTTCACACCAAAAATCTTTGAAAGAACTACAAAATCAACTATGGAAAAATGTGAATGTACTATGGCTTTGTGGCTTTGTTATGATCTTGTGATCTTGAGGGCTTTGACGTTTTGAGTCCGTTTGATCGGTCGACACTTGGAATCTGAGCCAACGAAATAAACATAGATCAGTCAATGTGAGACCAAATTTCCAATAAAAAATATTATACAGCGGTGAATGAAGTTATTGGTTTCAAGATCAAAAGTTCAGGAGTTCAAATCTCTGATTAGACAAAAATGTCCTTCCTCGACTTGGTTAAAATTTCTAAATGAAAAGTCCAAAATCGTGTAAAATAGGGCAAAGGCGAAAAGGGATGACTCGAAAAAATCGTTTGTCGAAGTGGCTCATCTGCAGCAACTGCTCTTTTTTAAAGAGCTGTTCTGAATTTCCGCTTTTTCAATGTCGGCTGCGTCTGGGAAATGACTATGATTTTTTTAAAATCTTTGTCCTGCAAAAAGCTTACACGGACTTTATATTAAGATACAACACATCGCCATAATTTTGAGGTGTCTGTCAAAATTTGAAGATTGAAAAAAGCGTATGAATTATGAACTAGAATTTCATTATTTTCAATTATTATTAGGTTTTCAATTGTAGAACACAAACTCAAGAGCAATAATATCGATATTATAATCAGTCATGTCTACGTTTGGCAAAGGCATCAATCAAGCAAACTTCATTAAGGTATGTGTAAATGATTTGTGATTTGAGACTCCGTTTATTTTAGTCTCTAATAAGCAACTCAAAAAAATTCTGGTCTAATTAACACAGCTGCGTGGTCTTATTATAACAATTATCATAATATTAACTTTTTAACGAGAATTTCATCAAAATAATCCAGTTGATATCTAGATCTCGTCTTGCTGAACAATTTTTGACAATTTTATGACACTTTTGTCTAGATACCGAATGTCGGGACAATTTTTGAACTTCAGAAACTTTTGTCTGAGACATGATTTTTTGGACACAAATGTCTTGACAAAATTATATCATGCAAGACCAGACCTCACCAAAAACAAGTACTAGTAATTTTATAGTTTTAGTTGAAGCCTCTTAAACAAAAATGACAAAATCGAAAAAATCACAATTGTTATCTAAAAGCGTTGAAGTCAACCAGCAAATAATTGAGAACTGTTTTTTTAATTAATCCGAAACATTACAGGGCCAAACTGTGTATTATGTAAATTGTAAGCAGATTCCGCAACAAGGACACTCTCGTTGTTCTTCTTTTGTTCTTTCGCTTTCTTTGATTATTCCGACAAAATTCAACATGCTTAAAGATTTTTCTCTGAATTCAAGAGACATAAACACACCAACACGCCTATCCAGTGCACAGTTTGGCCTCGTAATCAGCAGAATCCACAAAGTGCAAACAGTGCCCATCTAAAAAAGATTCGCTCCCACATAAGCATAAGCCCACGTACCAACGTTGATAAAATTCACTATTTGGAAATAGCGCCGACAGATCTTCGGAAAAAAATGCGTTATAACTTTTTTTTGATGATGTTCATTTTACTTAGAAAATTGGTTAATAAACCAAACAAAATGAGTCTAAGAGAAAAAAAGAGTTAAAAGTGAATACATAGCCAAAAAAAAGTAAATTCCAATCAATTCTTTGCCTTCAAACTCACAACATATCGTAGAACAGACGTAGAATGGGGAAAGAAAAAACTGTAGACAGGGGGGTTAAACTTGAGTAGGTTTAGATTTCAAGTAGGCGGTGAGTATAGCAGAAGTTGTTGACAGTTTTGCGGATAACTTTGCAAAAAAAAATATTGAGATTATTATCCATTATAATTATTTAAAATGGATTTTAAATGGACTAATCCATAATAATGGATTTTATTGGATTGAAATTTTACAGAAGTAATTGATTAAAATGTTAATATAATCGAATTCGTGGTCTAATTTTGCAACAATAATGGATTATAATGGCAATATTTTAGACAAAATGTTTCCATTATAATAGATTTTTATCCATGAAACTCCGGTGCGGGTAAAATTTGATTTGTTTTCGTCAAGAAACGTATTATTGCAATCCAATTTTCAAAAACCCGTTTTTAATTTGTTCCAGAACTCTATCATTATTGTTGTCAGAAGACATAAGTGGACTCCAAATAAAGAATAAAGATGGTGATTACGTAAGCATAGCTCAGCCGGAAGATCCAAGCTACATTCTGCTATTTTTGGGCGACCTATTTCAAAGATGGACCAACGACTATCTTTTTGCGGGGAAGCACCGAGTAACATTCGGCAAAGGGTGAGTATGAGGGCACAAATAAGACAGTGAAATTTCTCTAAAAAGGCAATTAATTTTATGCGATCACACATTTTGAACTCTAAAAGGCAAAATTTTTTCATACTTCTGATTTTACTGGCGGTGATATGGAAAGGGGTAGTTAGAGGGTGGGGGAGTAGGTTGTTAGGATTGGAAGTTTGCCTTTAGGTGCAAAATAAGACTGATTATTATCTTTATCAGTTTGATCGTTTCTAATCTGGGCGAGAGTGTTTACAAGGTTTTATAGCAAATGTGAACACTGATATGTGCAATCAATTCAAAGACTCCTTAAATCCTACGTTGATCTTCCAAATTGTACGGTTTTTCTGAAGTGTCTTTCGAGTGAATTTCTGTAAACTTTCAGCCTGAAAACTATTCAATGTTGATGTTATTATTTCCAGTGAGCAAATGAATATACACGAAAGAACAGACGCTACGAAAGACAACGACAAGCGAGTTTGTTCACGAAGACAGTTCATTGCGTTCTTCGTAGTACCCGACCACTACTCGGTTGTATGTCCATATATGGAACCAGCGAAATATAAGCCTGTAGTAGCTTTAGAATACATGCAGCAGAGTATCACAACTATTTTCCCAGAAATATTGCCACAGAAATAGAGCTCTGAAATACACGCTTATGCTTATGGCCATTAAACGCGAAGATGTATGTCAAGATAATCAAAGACTCGAATCCAAGAAACAAGATCGTTGGTATTTTAACTCAAAATCAGTTAGTTATTATTTATCTCACTGACCAATCATTAGAATACAGATTGTTTTTTTAGATTGTTTTTAGCGAGCAGTATTGATTGACATCAGTTTAGCCTCACTTCTTTCTATATAAATTATTGTGCTAGGAAGACACGTAAGACTGCTCGCTAAAAACAATTTGAAAAAATAGAGCTATCATCATTTTCGCTCTATCAAAAAAACTATTTAAAGGAGTGTAATTTAATTTCATGCTGATCTAAATAACCGCAAATAATCCGACTGCCATTTGAAATATATTTGAAGGTTTTTTTTAGCTTACAAAACGAATGAAAATCTCAAAAAAATGGAAAAAAATTGTTTTAGATTGTTTTTTTTTTCAATCCCATGGAACGTAATTTAAAGTACTTAGTGGATAGCAAACCAGTGGTTTTTCGTTGTTTCCGCGTTCATGATACGAGAAAAACGGCCTGTTATTTATCCCAAATTGGCATCTTCCAAAACACATGACTTCAAAAAAAATCACAGGTGAATTATTTTTTAAACTTTTGGCATAAACGCTCATTCATTTTCATTCAAAAATGACAGTGTTTTAGTTTTTCCCTATAACGCAATAAAAAATCACTCCTTTAACCTGCAACTAACTCTAAAACCACGTAATATATATTTACTTTTATCTTTTTTATTTGTTTTTTTTTACACGAAACGTGAAAGTGGATGGATGAAGAGTGCTGAAATACAGAAAAAAATTGGGAAAAATGGTATATTGCCATGTCGGGAAGCGGTGGTGAAGTGGTTACGTCTCCGCCTCTCAATCGAAAGGTCGGATGTTCGAGGCCCACCATGATCCGTGCTCGTTGCTTGAGGGCGAGGCAACATTAACCAGCCCAGAAAAATAACAAAAAAAACTGCATGTAGTTCTTAAACAGGGGCACAAAAAGCGGTTCGCCGTGATGAGCTGTACAGCTCTTGTGTTGGTCCTTTCACCCGCGGATAAATGGTCTTTATCTTAAAACTTACCTACAAGGGAAAGATAAACGCACGACCTGGTCACTTTTTTAGGGAGAACCACCTCGTCAGCTAAACTTAAATACAGGTGACAAAATAGGTCAGCAAAAGCCAACCCCTAAGCTCCAGCATAGATAGAGAGCTCACAAAAATGGTTTTTTTGTTTCCACTACACGCTCAAAATTTGGGCTAAAAACTCTCTTTTGTTCCCTGCCTTGTCTTTTCTCTCTTGCTGTTGCTCTCTTTTGACTTTTATGTTCCTGCCCGACTCTGTCTGTCTTCGTCACCGAAGCATCAATTTCTTCAGCTGGAATTGCCCCCCCATGTAACAGGACTTTAAATGAGAGAGGACCCGCAATAACAAAAATGAACATACTGCAAAACTATGTACAAAACTTGTACATACTGCAAAAATGAAATTGTTAGCAATGACACACAAACATCAAAAACCCAACTTTAGAACACGCGATCTCAAAAATTAACTGAAACTTTCGACCATCCTTCCAGTCTAAAATCAATTGCTTGCCTTTCGAAATACACCAAATACGATAGAAAACTAAATATGATCTGGAAACAATTAGCTTCTAATAATTTATCCAATGGAACTTTAGACAAAAGAAAATCAATTTTAAGCAAAGGAAGGGCTCTTGACAGGAACTCTGACGACCGGGCCGAAGACGAATTCAAGTTCAAGAATACAATATTCTCCAGAAAGAACCAATACCCTTTGGAGAAGGGATATCACTCGGACTATCTATCTCCCTCTTTTCAGCAGTCATTTTCAAAAACGCCATTGCAGAGCCCATTCAAAGGTAATATATTTCGGAAAAGAAAAGAAAGCATGAAGGGAAATGCTTTTATTGGAAACTTAATCAGAAAATCATAAATGCTTCAAAAACCACGATGGAATTATCCGACAAAAAGTATCAGAAAATCCGAAATGGCTCATATTCGATCCTTTAGAGAAAAAGTTTCCTTTCTCTTTTTTCCTAGCCCTAAAAATGAAGTTGGCTGAAAGCGGATTTTGAAATTGAAACCTACAACTCTCAGAAAAACAGGCCCTAAGACGATATTTCAAAACGAAATGGTCATTTCGGATAATTATAAAAATGAAGACTATAATTTCAATATCATCAACCAATTCTGCTAGAAGCATACCTCCACGAAACAAGAAATCAATACGAAGCACAAGTTACTTAGTTTGCGATGAATCTATGCTAATTCCGTCTATCAAAAATATTAGTGACTGGAAGTGGATTGCTTGAGGTTTTCCCTACAGCGGTACGATTAGGGAACGTTATGATTAGGGAAATTTCTGATAATATTAGAGAATAAGACTCACATATCACTCGCGATAACAAAAAGACTGAGATTTTAGACGGCCAAACAACAACGTCGAAACCTCTAGATTGCTGGATCAGCATCATTGCTGCTGGCCAGAGTCGGAGCCAATGCCTACCTACCACACAGTCTCTAACAACTTCTGACTTCAAACAACCAGACAAACTACCGGATATACAAGAGACCAAACAAGATGATACAGCTGTAAGCTTCCCGGACTTCGAAATCATTGATTCCTCAGACGAGAATACCGCCGAACAGGGAACCATAAAAAAGACCGGTAAGAGTCTAAACTTAGACGGTCAAGTCGAAATATAGGACCCCCCCCCCCCCAGTTTTATGGGAAAAGGCTTAATATAGATGTTATCGATTGCATAGACGAACATTGTGGATCAAACTTGACCATCATCTCCATCCATTCCGGATCAGATTTTCCTGCTTCGACCTCAATTCTTTCGGATAAGAAATCACCTCATTTCTCAATCCGTTCCACTGACAACCAGGCCAATTGATCCTATACTTCTACTTTTGACCTCCAACCCCTCTCTTCCACAGCCCAACCTTTGAGAATGGCCATCTACGGCTCAAACGAAATCGGAGATATGCATTGTGAGTTATTTAATGCGGAGCTCCAAGAAGCTAGGAACTAACTCTAGTAAGAAAAATTTTGTGTGCTTTTTTTTAAATTGGCTAAATCCCTTTTGGCTAAACCTTAAGTTTTAGTGCTATCTTTAAAGTTTAAGTTTCTTAAATTTACTTAACAAGGTAACACATAGTTGCATTTTTCCGCTGGATTTCTCCGTCAACTAACTTAACAACTTAGTTTAACTGCTTACTTTAGCTCGTTTTTTGTCAAACTTTCTTCTCTTAGTGTCTAGCTTGGTGCATATTATTGCAATTAGTCAAAAAACCCTTCAGCATCCTCAAGGAGCGAAAAGGGTCGGTTACCTTATTGGTTCGTATTTAGTTTTTTTCTATCAAGGGGAATGATGTGAACTGCAGTATTTTACAATATTTAAATAATTGCAATTTGATATACCAGGTATTCATGTTACTACCTTGAGTTATTCATTCTCTCCGGCGGAGAAAAAGCTCGCTCACTTTGTAATTGTTTTACCTAGAGGTAATTCACTTCTTACTTTATTTTTTTGTTTGTACATAATTAGAATTAACTGCAACAAATTAACATTTTATCTCAATTCAGGATAAAAATTGTCCATTACTATAAATTACTAATCGCTGCAGAAAAGGGTTTAAACATGTAAACTGGAATCAGTAGAATACTTCTCATTTAAGTTCGTAGATACCAAAATGGTTTTCTTCAAGAGAAATTTTTCTGTGATGTTTTCACGGAATTTTGTGGATACATAATAACCTTTGACGGGATATAACAACTAAGCATTGATCTTTTATAGTTTTCCCAAAACTTAAAACCCACACCCTTTAAAATCCCCAATATGCACCAAGCTAGGCACTAAGAGAATAAAGGTTGACAAATTCAAGCCAATTGGTTATAAAGGCTGTTTTAAGTGTTAATTTGAGTTGCAACTAAATAGATTATCTCTCATTCTAGAACCACGTTTCAGACAACCTTCTAAGCTTTTGTACCTTGCACAGCTCTGATTAGGGGCTGATCTAGGATTTTCTCGAGGGGGCAGATTTTCTCGAGGGGGCGGATTTAAAAAAAAATCAAAATTTTGTCGACCTTTTTTTGTGATTAGTGGATTTGAAAAGTTGAGAGCGGGATCAGTGAAAGTAAGCGAGTTCCGCAAAATTAATGATGCAAGTGGATTCCGCAAACTGTAAGCAGATTCTGGAAAAGTAAGTTGATTCCGCAAAAGCGTTATTTATAAAATAATTATTTTGTATTTGTTTCTGGATTCCACAATCTGTTCCGAATTCCGCAAATTTTGTCGTGGGTTCCCCAAATTCGCCTGTTTTCGGAGCAGTTTTGAACAATGCAGTGTTCAAACTTTTTGTTCGTGGAATCCAAAACAACAAAAAAGATCAAAGAAAACTAGCACTATTGTGGATTCCGGGACAAATCTGTTTCCGGTATGACGCAGAATCCGCTTAAAATTTACACAGTACACCATATTGGTTTCATAATAACCGTATAAAACGCTTGGATGAAAAACAAAAAAGGGGTGAATAAACCACTCAATACTATCAACACTATCTCAGCTCTTCGAAATTCGGAACTTTACAAATGAAAATCGCAACAAAACATGACTAGAAATACACCAGAAACAAAATGGGGCAATTTTACTTCAAATTTGAGTCAGTATTGAGTCAAAAATGAGTCAGTATTGACTCCTTCTACGGAATAAAACGAGCCAAAAGTTTTACAGTTCGAGCTAGAGCATTGAGTCTGTATACTGATTATGCAAAACAATTGAACCATATGACAAACACTGTAAGGTCAATTTTAAATTTTTTTGAAAAGGAAAACGAACTGGAAAATAATACACTAAATTAAAGAGATAAGATGCACACTAATCAAAACTTTGGCGACTATTACTTGACAGAACCAAAATAAACCAATAGTTAGCTTTTTCAGGGAAAAGTTGGCAAAATCAAAAACACAGCCACTATTTAAATGAAATGATCTTAAGATAAGCTTGTCAGTCAACACATCTGCCCAAAAAACAAGAATATGCGCAAAAAAAATAAATTAGGAACTCTCTAGTGTATACAAGGAATCATCGCATTTTGGGATTTTCTAAAATAAAAGTTGATTCTCACAAAAATGGAAGGAAAACTAGAATTTTTTTCTTTCGAATTGACAATTTTGCTTTCTGGTTTAACCGTTGTTCCACAAAAACACACATACAAATTTTCATAATTCAAAGGATTATTGGGAGAATTCAAGTACAATTGATAAATTGAATGAACAAAAATTGAAAAAAAAAATTGATATGAAAATGTCTTAGGTTTAGTCCAATTTGGTGTCTTTTTG